CAAGATCAATAGAAATGGGAGTGCGTTGAATAAATAAGAATACAGACTGTAATTGCTTCAGTGACCACACCCAAAGAAGTTCAATAGGTGACATCCTGCCAGAAGTTTCTGGCGGAAGTGGCTGTGAGTTCTTCGGAGTATTATACATCTCGAATAGTATTCAGCAAAGCTCTGTGTGGGTTCTGTCCCGATCAACATTTTTGTTGAAGTCTTGGATTTCCTGGGCCTAGTGAATTTCTTCTTCCACCTCCCCTAATATCCTTAAATCTTCTGTCCACCCTCTAAGCTAATGACAGACTTCCTGAATGATTGGGAAAAATAAAAGGAATCAGAACGAACTGTGTTTATCACCAAACCTCCTAACTGACCTACACTGGTAGTCATGCAAGCTTCCTTCCTATAGAACAGATGAGCTGTGTCTAGTTCATCTTGTGCACCAGACCCCACCTCCTCTTACCTACTTAAAAACTTGGCTTCTAGCCGGGCACGGTGGCTCACGCCTGTAATCCTATCACTCTGGGAGGCTGAGGCGGGAGGATCGCTCATGGTCAGGAGTTTGAGACCAGCCTGAGCAAGACCGAGACCCCGTCTCTACTAAAAATAGAAAGAAATTAGCTGGGCAACTAAAAGTGTATAGAAAAAATTAGCCGGGCATGGTGGCGCGTGCCTGTAGTCCCAGCTACTCTGGAGGCTGAGGCAGGAGGATCGCTGGAGCCCAGGAGTTGGAGGCTGCTGTGAGGTAGGCTGATACCACGGCACTCTAGGCTGGGCAGCAGAAGTGAGACTCTTTCTAGGAAAAAAAAATAAGTAAAATAAAAATTAAAAAAATAAAAATAGAAGCAATGAAATGAGAGGTGATACAATCGGCAACTGCTCTGCAAAGCAACTATTTCAGAAGGGGTCACTACAGGTTATTTAGACAAGCAAAGACTCATCTCTACAGAAGTTAGATGGGCCAGATTCCTATTGCTGCTGCAACAAATCACTGCAAATTTAGTGGCTTAGAATAAAATAAATTTATGACTTTGCAGTCCTGGAAGTCTTACCACGGTGCTAAATTGTCAATGGTGCTGCATTCCTTTTGGGGAGACTTCTTTTTTTTTTTTCTGGAGACAGTGTTTCACTCTGTTGCCCGGGCTAGAGTGCCCTGCGGTCAGCCTCGCTCACAGCAACCTCCAACTCCTGGGCTCCAGCAATCCTCCTGCCTCAGCCTCCTCCCAAGTAGCTGGGACTACAGGCACGCACCACCACGCCCGGCTCATTTTTTCTATATATTTTTAGCTGTCCAAGTAATTTTCTTTCTGTTTTTAGTAGAGATGGGGTCTCGCTCTTGCTCAGGCTGGTTCTGAACTCCTGAGCTCAAAGGATCCTCCCACCTGGGCCTCCCAGAGTGCTAGGATGATAGGAGCCACCGTGCCCAGCCAAGAGGAGACTTTCTTTCCTTACTTTTTCCAGCTCTGGAGGTCACATGCATTCTTTGGCACCTGGCCCTTCATCTTCAAAGCCAGTGGTGCAATGCTGGACCCAGACTCCTGGGCTCAAGGGATCCTCCTGCCTCAGCCTCCCAAGTAGGTGTGACTACAGGTGTGCACCACCATACTCAGGTTCGTTTGAATCCTATGTGAGCTGGATTTTCCTTAATTGCATCAAAAATGTGTACTATTGACATCCTTGTGATGAAGCAGAACTGAGTCTTCGGTAGGTAGACTTTGTTTTTCTGTTGAGTTGATGGAGTTTCTATTTTCTGAGGAAAGCGAGAGCTTCCTGACAACCAAGAGTAATGAAAGAGAAATGTTCACTGGTCATGTCACCTAAAAATCACAAGCTAACTTTCCCCTCGCAAAAATGCTAAAATTCTGAGTGGTGTTCTGCAAGTGAGTAAACGGGCCCAGACAGGTTATAGGTTTATTTATTTTTAACCACCTTTTGGGAAAAAAAGGTTGTTTAATATGGTTGTAGAAACAGCTCAAGTATGTGTACTTTGAATAGGAAATGAGTCCGTCCTGCTGCTTCTTCCAGCATGGTTTATTGTAGATTGCCAAATGAAATAGGTACTCTATTTTTTTTTCCTTTTTAACATTATACCCTGGATATGCTAAAATCTATTTATTTTTTTTTAAATTTATTCTGTAGGCCAGGTGCAGTGGCTCACACCTGTAATCCTAGCACTCTGGGAGGCCGAGGCGGGAGGATCGCTTGAGGTCAGGAGTTCGAGACCAGCCTGAGCAAGAGCGAGACCCGTCTCTACTAAAAAACAGAAAGAATTAATTGGCCAACTAAAAAAAAATACATAGAAAAATTCAGCCGGGCGTGGTGGCGCATGCCTGTAGTCCCAGCTACTCGGGAGGCTGAGCAGGAGGAGTCGCTTGAGCCCAGGAGTTGAGGTTGCTGTGAGCGAGGCTGATGCCAAGGCATTTCTAGCTCAGGCAACAGAGTGAGACTCTGTCTCAAAAAACAAAACAAACACAGGTAAAGAGAGAGGTTGTGAGAAGCCATGATTAATTCTGCCTCCACAAGTCTGGAAAGACTTCACATAAATACTAAGATGTGATTGGAGTTTTGAATAATGGATAGGAGCGTACTAGGCAGAGGAGGAAGATAAAGTAGCAGGATTGCGGTGAGTTCTAAGAGGAACGTATGGTGGATGCAGGAGACATGATACAGAAATCTGGACCATAACATGAAGGACTATGAGTGACACAGCTCATACATACTCATGCAGCATAAGGTGTTAGCTTGAAAAATCATTCCTAGTGGTTGCGTGGAATTTTTTCATGTCAATCCCAAGAATTCCAGAAGCTACTGGGCTACCTGTGAATCAAAACGGATGTTTTGGAAAGTCAACTGTTATTGAAAAATGTGGGCATATTGCACATCTTAACATCAAAACAAAGCACAGAGTCATCCTCCTTTAAGGCAGAAAAGATGCAAAGGATTTTCAGAATTGACTTGTATTCCTGGGTTTAATTATTCTGCAATGTCTAAATTCAGCCCACCCGATTGATACGAAACCAGCCATTTCGTCTTCCTTGGAGAGATTTCTTCGTAGTGTCCAACGAATACGAATTAATTTAACTAACATAGTCGAAAACAGATAACTCTTAGATTCTTTGCTTTTTTTTTTTTCTTTTTTTTGCAAACTGGCCTTTGTTTCCCCAGTGCCAATTACTAAACAGGAAACGATTACGTGTCGACTGCAACAGTACCTGGAAACTCCACATTCTTCTAGGAATACTGCAGGAACAGCCAATCCCAAAGCCCGAAGGATCCAGTTTCTAGTCAAGGCATTTATGATTTCTAGCAGGCACATTAAAGAATTAATTTTTTTCTGTTTTACTCCATGAAGTGTCTAACAGTGCTCTAAAAAAACAAAACAAAAAAAAAACCCCAAAAAGCCAAAAAAAAAACACCTTACCACTGTTGGTTACGGTGTCCAAAAAATATATAAATAAAAGTATATAAAAAATTAAAAAAAAAAACCAACCCAGAAAACCAAATCCTCAACACAGCAAACTCAGAAACCTCGTAAAGAAATGATGCACCGCATTTATATCTTCTATTCAGGACAAGCACTAAAAAAAAAATAAAACAAAATAAACGCTAAGCGAACCGTTGGTTGATGCAACACTTGACAATTTCTTTTCTTAAAATTTTTGTCTTCTTCTTATTATTTTTTAAATTATTTTTCGTCCAAAAGGGAAGTCCAGCTTGGGCAATTTTTAAAAAAAGGTCGTGGTAGGTTTTTTTTTTTTTTTTTAGGGTCCTCAGAGGACCCCACCAAAGCGAAAACCAATCCGTTCCTTAAAATATGCTTCTTTTGACAAGAAAAAAAACAAAAAAACTTCAAGCGGAAAAGCAGGGAGGCAAAGACCCTACGTGACAGAACTTTAAAAAATACTTTGAATGCTTTAAAGATAGGAAGATAAAATTCTCAAAAATAAAGAAATGAAGAGAAAAAAAATTTTTAAGTTACAAAATTAGAAAAAATATATATATAAAGGGGGGAAAAAAAAAAACCCTCCGTGGAAAAACAAATCTGAAGAGAAAAAGAAGCCGTCGTCACGGGCGGCCTCGGGCAGCCCGCGCGGCTCGGACGGGGAAGCGCAATGTCACCCGGTCCTGGCGGCGACAGAGCCGGGGACGCGGCGCTTCCCGCCTCAGGAGGCCGCGGAGCGAGCCTGCCGCTCCTCCCCGCGACGCCGCCTTCGGGGAGGCGCCACCACAGCCGGGGCCTGACGTAGCCTCCTTCCCGCCCGCTCGCTCCTGAGGCGGCGGCGGCGGCGGCGCGCGATGGGAAGAGAGCGACCGGACTCCCAGCATCCCCCGCTGTAAGGGCGGGGCCAGAGGAAGCGGCCCCTCTAGCTGCGCCTTCCAAACGGCGCTCCTTGTTCTCCATGGTCCCCGCGCGGGCCGTCGCATCGCGCGTCACTTCCGGTTCCTCTTAAAAGCCCCCCCACCCCCCCGCTACGCTACGCCACGCCACGCCGTGCGGCGCTGCGCGTGAGAGAGGAAGGTATAAAAGGCAGCGAGAGGGCGGGACCCAGGAGGAAGGAGGAGGGGGGCGGGGGGGGAAACAAAACTAGCGGGAGACCAGAGAGAGAGAGAGCGAGCGAGCGAGCGCGGGAGGGGGCGGGGGGCGGGGGAGGCGCAAAGGGCGCGCTCTCGCGTCACGTGACCGGGACGCGCCGTTCTTCCGTCGGCCATTTTAGGTGGTCCGCGGCGGCGCCATTAAAGCGAGGAGGAGGCGAGCGCGGCCGCCGCTGCTGCTGTTGTTTTTTTCCTGGTTCCTCTTCGCGGGCGAGAGCGGGAGCGTGCGCCGCGCGGGAGCGGGAGGCGAGGCGGGCAGCGGCCGGGCAGAGGCGCAGGAGGCTGGGCAGCCGCGCGCGCGCCGTCCGTGTCCTGCGGTGCGGCGTGGTGCTTGGCGAGCGGGCGCGGGCGCGGGCGCGGGCGGCGGCGGCGGCGGGGATCCCTTCGCTGCTGGTTTCGGTTCGCGGCGGCGCGGCGGCGGCGGCGGCGGTAGCGCGATGTCGGAGGAGCAGTTCGGCGGGACGGGGCGCGGCGGGCGGGCGGCCCGGCGGGCGAGCAGGAGGGAGCCATGGCGGCGGCGGCGGCGCAGGGGCAGCGGGCGGCGCGGGGAAGCGGCGCCGGGACCGGGGGCGGCGGCGGCGGCGCGGCGGCCGGCGGCGGCGCGGAGGGCGGCAGCGCCGAGTCGGAAGGGGCGAAGATCGACGCCAGCAAGAACGAGGAGGACGAAGGGTGAGTAAGGGGCGGCCCGGGAGGAGAGCGAGGCCCGGCTCGTCCCATCCTCCTCCTCCTCGTCCTCCTCCTCCTCCCCTCCCCCCGCCGGGCCCCCGGGCGGCCTCCCCGCGCCGCGCGGCTCCCGGCCGCAGCCTGCCGGCGCCCCGCCCTCCCCACGCGCGCGGGCCCTCCTTCCGCCGTCACCGCGCGGCGCCCGGCCCGCCCTTCGCCTCCCGCGCCCGGGCCGCCCCGTGTCTTTTTTTTTTTTTTTTTTTTTCCTTTCCTTTTCCCGCCTGCAGAGCGGTGGAGAAGCGTTGGGGGGGTGCATCGTTGTTGTTTTTTTTTTTTTGGCTCCCTTTTCCCCTCTGCTCCCCCCCAAAAAAAGTCTTGCGCAAAAAAATGGCAAACAAGCTATACGAAAGCCTTTCCGTGTGGATGGCTAAGGGTTTTTCTTTTTTTCTGTTTGTCCTTTTGCTCGTTGCTCTTGCACCGTCCCGATACGATGATGATAGCAGCACATGGGTTTTTTTTTTTTTTTTTTTTGGGCGGAGGGGGGGTGTCCGCGGAGGCTTGTCCTTCCGGGACTCTGTTTCCCGCGCCGCCTGCTTTTGCCTTTTTTTTTTTTTTTTTGCAGGCCGAGTGTTTTTCAGGCGCTGCTGCTGCTGCTGTTGTTTTGGGGTGTCGTTAAGTTTCGCCCCGGGACTTGGGGGCCGTCTGCCCCGGCGGCGTGCGTGCGTGCGTGCATGCATTGCTTGCTTGCTTGCACGGATGTATGCATGCATGCACGCACGATGGGTGGCTGGCTCGCCCGCCCGCCCGCGTGAGGCCTGCGGGCCCGGTCGGGCCTGGAGCGCAGCCGGAGCGTGCTGGTGGCTGGTGCGCCTGCTCTGCCGGGCGGGCTCCCGTGGAGTTCCCGGCCTGCGGGGCCTGCACCTCCGCCCTGCCCCTGCCCCTGCCCCGCCCCGCCGGTTATTCTAACCGCGCACCCTTTTCGCGCCCTGCGCTATGGGGGTGGGGGTTCCCCCAGACGTTTTGCGCAGATCGCGCTCTTACCTTAACGCTTTCTGTACGCCTTGCTTTTTTTTTTTTTTTTGTGCCCCTATCTTACTCATTTTCTGGTGCCCAGGCTCCTTTTTTTGGGGGGGGCCCTTTTGATTTCTCCTTCCCGCCCTCTCTCACCCACTTAAAAGGAGGCCCCACCCCGCCCTTTCTTTCCTAACGGGAACAAATCCTGTAACGTGCCATGGGATAATTTTTTTCTATTTTGCAGGTTTTTGAGTACTAACTTGCTTCCTCTAGTTGGAGTAGCAGTTGCATGTGCTGTCTAAGGCTGCATGAAATACATTGAAATGATGCAGCCTTTGAGAGCGGGAGCATAATACATGGGAGTTAGCAGGGGGGACTAAAATCGGGGTTCTTCGTTGGATTTTTCCTAACGCCCGTTATTGACTGATCTTAGGTTGACACTTCCATTCCTTTTTGTAATGGGTGTGTGTGTGTGCGAATTTTTCTCACTATAACGAGGAAGGTGTTGGTGGAAGGTAAAATTAACCCAGTATTAGAAAACACAGTTTTCTTTGCTGGAAAGAGCACAGGATTTGGGGAGGGGGGGGGAAGGAGGGTGGAGAGCTCTTTGGAATATAGAATTTAACAATCCCAGCCCAGGCAGACTCTTGTCAGGCAGTTTTGCTGATTGTACTGGCTTTGGGGGAGTGGAGGTGAGAGGGGAAACGAACTTTTATGAATGAAACAAGAACTAATCTTGAAAAGTGTATGTAGCTTAATTTGAGAAAGGAATATGTTTAATATTTGGAAACTTTAAAGCCATTTTGGTTTTTGTTTTCTGAAATCTGTTCTTTGGACAGAGGCACCAAAATGATTAATTGCATAAAACTTGCTGTTTGGGGCAGGCTTTCAATCAGCCCTGAGTTTTCAAATCACCAAAGCAGCTGCCTTTGTAGTTACCTACTGTTGAACTGAAGTGTAAATGAATTAAAGTTTTTAACCCTAACAATGTCAAAAACTAAAACTAGAATTTTGATTGGTTGCTGTACCGGTTGTTAATTCCCTAGCCATTCAAACTCCTCCCCACGACACTCTGAAGCAGCGACGGCACAGCGGGAAGAATGGTAAAACTTTTACATTTTATTTCTGTATTATAAAGGTTTCAGTAGTCATAACATGCAGAGGCTGTGTATTGGCTAGTTGCCCATTGATCCCCAGGAAATTCTAGACGTCAGTACAGTAGGATGTCTTGTACCTGGGGTATAGAAGCTTTCTAGACGTCGTGTGTAATCTTTGGGCAAAATTGATGCCATTACATGGTATTTGGTCTGTGGTAATGCATGTAATTGCCGTTTGGCCAATTTAAGCTAAATATCATTCGTAATGATATTTTTATATCTGGGCAAGAAGAAATACTGTAATTTTCCCATATGTTAAGATGAAAAATATTTTTCTTGGAATTCTTAAGTTTAATAGTAAACATTAAGACTACTTGATACGAAATATTGTGTGTTTAAAGTGTCTTGCATGTTATACTGAAATATGCTGGCAATGTCAAAAGTAAAACAGTTCTTTAAAGTAGTACTGTGTGTATTATGCAAAAATGTTTCTTTTTAGCACCAACCATATTTGTAAATACACCTTTAATAAGAATTGGATATGTACCATTCAGAGGTGGGCTAATGTGGCTGTCCACTACAGCTCTTACCAGATTTTTTATTTTCAGTGTGATTTGGCTGGACTATTAATTACAGTTGGTTGACATGTATTCAAAATTGCATGACTTCTCTTTGGAGGCTGGTAGGTTGAGTATTCTTTTTATGCATCCTTTCCCTTCCCCTATATGTCAGTCTTTCTGGTTTTAGGATCATATTTGAATTTTCAGGGCTTTGTATCCACCAACACTGGAGATGAGAAGGCCAGTAATTTGCAGATAGTTGCCTTACATCTGCACAGACTACATTCTGTGTTCAAATCCTAGGAGCCCGTTTGGTATAACATTCAGATTTTACAAAAGATTTACTTACTCTCATCCTCTGAAATCCGTCCAGTTTTAGATTGGAGAAAAAGTAGATTGGAGATAATAGGCAAAAGGAAAACAAAAAGGATAAAAGATTGACTGGGGTCAGAGTTTGACCTATAGAATACAGATGTTTAGATGAACATTGTTCCAATTGGTGACTAGTAGGCCCTGACAGTTCAGTTTCATTGCTAGCGGATAATGGCACATTAAGATTAAACTATAACTGTACCTCTTTCTCCATTACATATTTTGACTCTTACGTAAGTAACTGTTTTGAGTAATTAGGAATGACATAAACTTTTATTAAGGAAATTGTTTTGACTCTTAAAATAATTATACTTGCCTTGCTACCTAAGACTATAATTTTACAACTTTTATGGGTGACCTCTTAATCAGAAAAGAACAAATGTTCACAGTTAATGAACATTTTAGATTATGACCAATTGCCATTCACTGAAAATAAGATTTTACTTAGGTTCATTTTAAGTTACAGTTATAAAAAACGTAGTTCTCATTTTTAAGGTCTAATATTTGACATTTTTAACTGCCCAGTCATGCAGTTTATCTTATTCCAGATAACTGTTTTCCTTTTTTGGGGAAAAAAAACAACACTTCAAAACCTTAAATCTTGTTGGTGTCTGCACTTGCCACTCCAATTCCTTTCCCTGCCTCTCATTTTGAGGGATTTGGGGTGACAGTTTTATAAGATAGTCTCAATAGTGAGGATAAGACTGGTTAGTAGATGTGAAATCATCTAAATTTAACTTCTTAAACAATTCTAGGTGCATTTCCTTCTACAGGTCTTATTTGAGAATAAAGTGATTATAATTTTATCCTAAAGTACTTTAGTAATTTGTTTTAGACAGTTTTTCCTTTTGCATGTAAAGAAATGGATAGTTGTTTTTAGGAATGCATTCCTTTTATACTTCTGAATGTTTCTACAGTATACCTTGGTGCTTTAGAATAAGTATTTATTTCCATAGTAAAATGCCTTCCTGAGTTCATCTCGATTTACTCTTTCCAGCATTAATATCCCTAGTTTTTATTTCTAAGCAATTGCATTGGAAGTTCCCATTTTGCTTTGTGGTGTGAATTCATTCTATTCTCTGCAGTGCTACAGTTCTTTTGGGGTAGGTACTTTAAAATTTTAGTGTCTGGCCATGTAGCAAGCTCCCTGGGTGCAGTGTTTTTAAAATTTAAAATTTAAAGAATTAGCGGGAAACTAGAATGTTAGTGATCAGATAATTTTGCAAGGTAGGTACATTGACTTTCTTGCATTGGATTGAGTAGGAGGCAAAATAGTCCCATTCACTTAATAAGCCAAAGTACAGCAGTGCTTCTCTAACAGGACAGTAGATCTGGTCTCATGACTACTAGCGTATAGACGCAAGTTTGATTCTTCCTATACGGGGATTCTGTGAATTTTGCTGTAGGTTGTCTCCTGTCTAATCTTAAAAGTATGGGCTCACATCATTTTTTGTTTTAAATATTTGCGATTATAATCTATACTCTAGTGTTCTGGAGCAATCTGAACATTGTTTGCTTTGTGAAACAATTACTTCTAGAGCAGTCTCATGCCAAATTACTGGCCTTTGATACAGTAAAGTTGGGCTTATTTAAATAGTAAAGTTTAGAATATTGTTAGCATTCTTTGGAACCTTTGACAGGTTTCCAGGGTTAACATTGCAGAAATTGATGCCCCCCGAATCTTGATGATGAACATTTAAAGAAGGACTGTTTATTTCATTTTAAATTGTCCTCTGTTATGAAAAATACTAAAAATCATCTGTCCTTCTAAGTTTGGAATTGGACCGTGCCATTTAAGTTTTTCAGGGTTTTTTGAGATAGACATACTTGTCTTAAATAAAAACATTTTGAGTCTGTTTCAGTTTGTGCTTTATGGCCAACCAGAAGGATGATTAGTTTTAGCCTTCAAGTGATAATGCACACCATGCTTGAAAGCATTTAAAAAGGAGTAGAATAACAACCTTTTTCCCCATTCCACTTAAATCTGCGCACCTCAGGAGTGTGCAGATCCACAAATGGAGCGAAGCGTAACTTGTGTTAGTCCCAGTTTGATTTGACTTTAGTTCTGCTTCACCGTTTTAGTAGATAGGGCACTGTGAACTGGATGCTAGAAGCGGGGGGTCTCTTTCTGTTGCTTCACTTCCAACAGTGTGGTTTCAGGTAATACACCGTGTTTGTTACTTGGTTTGCTGACTGTGTGTTGGAATCAGTGCTCACCACAGGAAGATTGCCTGCATAGCCTGCTTTCATAGCTTGTGTGTATTTATCCAGTGCCCTAATAGTTGATACTGCCAGTGATTTACTCCTGTGGAGTAAAGGTAAGCATGTTTTAGTTTCTGGAGTATATTATATGTTGGAGCTAGGTATTTAAGAATGGGGGTGGGGAGGGAAGACTTGCCAGACTACTTACTGGCAGTGTGTTTGGCCAATAATCAAGATTGGTAGCTTTAAGCATCCGGTCTTGCACTGTAAACTCCTGCTTATCTAGACTTCAGACTACCACAGAGCTAGGAAATCTCTCTCTCCCTTTAGTTTTACGAGTAAGATGGGTGAGATTATGAGCAGATGCTCTCAAGAAGCAACCAACAGACAATGTCATGGGATGAATCTCCTGCAAATTTTCCCTTATATTTTTAAAAAGTAATGTGATCTTAAAGCGTTGAAAGATTCTAAAAATTAAGAAAGGTGAATTATTTTCTGATTATAGAAAATAAATTGTTAATTTGTAGTAATCTCAGTTAACCAGAACCTTAACCTCTAGGTTAAGGAAACACCATTCCTTAACCTCTAGGTAAATGGGAGTTTACCTTATAAAGCTGATTGAGAGTTTTATTTAAAAAGTAAAAATACAAGATGTCATGCTTCCTTGTAATGAAGAAAAAAAGGGAAATGTTGGATTAAGCATTTAAAGTTTATGTTTTAAAACTGCCATTTTTAGTTTAGTAGATGTCACGTATTTTCAGCTGAGCTATCTTTTCTGTAGTCATCATTTAGGTTTATTCTGAAGCATGCAGTAATGAGATTTAATATAGAGCGATTAATCTTGCTTTGAAAATGTTTGATCTATTGTACATTAGTCTCGAATAAAAATAAGATTTCTTTTTCACACTTACCTTGAAGATGTCATCTTAACATTTATAGAAAGCTGGGGAAGGAATACCTAGTCTTTAATAATGGGGAAATAATACTAGAACTTATATTTTTATTGACGATAAAGGATTTTGGGGGAGAATTTGTTTATTGGCCCACCTAAATGTCTGTCTTTTAAATAGTTAAAAAGTGGTTTCCATGTATTATACACCAGATCAGATCTTAAAAAGGCTGATTATTTTTTGAACTTTTTAAAAGTTACCTTTTTAAAAGATACCTCCAAGGGTCATTTTCCGACAAATTCTAAAGTAAATGCCCTACCATGTGATATTTAGTTGCAAAGTAACCCCTCCCATAGGTAACAAGTGATACAACTAAAATAAATCTATAATTTCTAAAGAAAAATAATTATATCTGATGTGCTGGGGAGATTTCATTATGGTTCATCAACCAATCCTTAGGATTTTAATAGGATAATTACAATGGGTAAAATACCAGACAAATTAAGTAAGGATTAATGGTGTGCTGAGTTACATTACTCTAAAAGGTGACAGTGATTGATCAGTTATGTTTCATACCTGAAATGTGTATCAGGTGGACATTCTGTTGTATCTTTTAAAACTGTCAGAACTTGTTATGAAGCCACATGTTAATTAAGATCATGAGTTGATAGGAAGTGTTTAAAGTTATGAAATACTTTTTTTTTAAAGAATACTATTCCAAAATTGGGAGGGAGTATAATGGTATTTAACATTTTGCCTTGAATAAGGTGTTTCACAGGAAGGCTTACTAAGGGAAGTCTCTATAAATAAAATACCTAAGATTCCAGAGTGTTAAACCTAGTGACCTCAAGAGTCCAAATAAGTTTATTAATGGGGGAGAAAATGATTATTAAATCGGAATATTTCCACCGGCTGGCATTGTTCCATAATTATTGCCTTTTATGTTTTAAATTATTCTGTACTCAAATTACTGGCATATATGTAAAATAGATGAAATTTCTAGGTTATTTCAAGCCTGCAGCATTGAAAATAATCTTAGGATCCATTTATATAAAATTCCTCTTGGCCTTTTATCTTCCCTTTTTTGCTGAAAGTTTATAAATCCTATGCAGCTAGCAAAAGGCCATTGAGTAAATGAAAATGTTGCTTTATTAAGTTATGTTTAGACTGTGCTTTGCCCCTTCAAAACAGTAACTTGTTTTTACTGGGCACTTAGGGTGTGGCAGACTGTTCTGTGCCCTTTAAGTGTATTAACTCATTTAATCCTCACTGCAGATATCTGAGGTAGGCTCTTTACAGATGGGTAAACAGTCTCGGGATTTTATTTTTTTACTTAGGGTCATACAGTCAGTAAGTGATAGGTGTAGAATTTAAACCCAGCCAGTTTGGCTTTATTGCCTCTAAACTTACTTGCATTAAAAGGTGATAGTGTCCCACAAAACACCCTAAATTCTGACACTGCGCTGAGTTGTATAACTTCATGCTCGTCATTTAATTTTATAATTTTGTGTAATATCAGTGTGAAAGCAGAGACTTGAGTACCTGCTTTTGTACTTGAGTACCTGCATACTACCGTTGAGTAGGTATGTTATATTGAATACTGTATTCAGCCTTTGGGGTGCTGAATATTTAGTTCATAGCTAGGATTAAGAAATTAAATTTTGCTAATAAAATACTCGAGATGAAGTACTACATTTTAATTGGGATTTATTCACTTATGACTAAAGGTCAGGTTTTAAACTTACGTTGCAGCGTTAGGGGCCGTTTTTGTTGCTGCCTGAACAAGTCTTGGTAGTTTTAGCTTGGCTGCTTAGGATGTTTCTGGAGTCCTGTCTCCACTCCACTGGAAAGTGCACCTCTGCAGGTGACAGCAGTTTGCAAATGAGTCCTGTTCAAGGCAGCAGAGATCATCTGGACAGACAGTAGGTGTTGGTGCTTTATACAGTCGTAGGAAATACAGATAAGTTACATTGGTATTATTCCATCTCAGTTTGAATGAGATAGTGCATGCCAACATTCTGGGAGGCTGAACTAAGTGTCTGTTTATTCGTAATTAAGGTAAACAGACCTATCTCCCACTGTATTGCACAGCTATAGCTCGCCGTGCCTACTGAACAAAGATGGAATGGAGTTAATATGTTCTGTTTAGTAAAGGTGGAACGGATTTGGCACAGTTTGTCTTCATTGTAGCCTATTCACCTACCAGGTTATCAGTTGTTCAGCAACCTTTCTTAATTAGAGCAGAAGAAAAAGCCAGAGTGCTTTCTGGCTGCCAAAATATTAATTAACAGTTGTCTCAAAGAGCCACTTAGGCTGTTGCTCAGACTATTTACTCTTGTCATGAAATTTGGAAAGTTTGAGAGCTGGCTGTTTACTCCACAAAAGAGAAAGGGAGACAATTTGGAACAACTGGTGATTAATCTGGCAAAAATGAAAAGTAGAACTTGTGAAGAAATGAGATATACTACTTGGTGTATTAATAAATAGCTCTTTAATTTCAGAAGACCCAGTGGGCATTCTGTTTTGGCATAATATATTAGTGATGGCTGATCTATAGAGTATTAAATCATTGCTACTGTATTTGAAGTTTAAGAAGGCAGAAGAGTGTGTGATATGTTAGAAAAAAATCATTCCAAATAGTTGAAGGTTAAACAATTGGGGAAAGATTAGGCAAGGTGGACAGTGCTATAAGGAAGTGGAATTACATGGCTTCTTACTTTCTTTAAAGGCGTTGGGGAGCTGAAAGTTTTTTACTAAATATTTTGTTCTAGTTTTCTGAGAACTAGTTGACCAGAATACTTAATATTCTGGATAAGTGGGATTTCATAAGTAGTTTAGGAAGGATAGTGTCTTCAGTGACCCTTTACAGCTCTAAGGTAGGCACATTGAACAACTTCTATAATAAATACTATGTTCAAGGTGAGGAGTTTCTTAGCACTTAACTGGGTCTGTTGATTAATTAGTCTGCTTATGTAATATTTAAGAAAATCTACTTCCTATCTGTCAAAAATATTTGGGGCTTGTGAATACTAATAGAACATGCCTCATTCTTGGCGCTTTTATTCCTTCATAATTGTTTTGTTTCTTAATTTTAAATTTAGGACACTTCCCCAGCATAAACATTGCTTATGTTATTTAAACATTGGTTAAATAAAATCAAAACCAGTTCTGTCTCTATATATCTGATGAATAGGTCAGACAGAATTTTCTTACCTTTGAACTTCAGCTTTTTAAAATAAGGCTTATGTTATAACTGTTCTTTTCAGGCTGAAATAATTTCAAACTGTTCAATTATCGATGGTAAATTTCTGTAATAGTAGAAATGGTAACAGTAGTTAAATCTCAACTTAATTGAAGTTGTTTCTGTTCTAGAACTTGGCCATGGACATCTGAGCAAGAGGTCATTGCTTTATAGTCAGTTCTCTTACTAAAAAGATAGTGTCCTCCCTTTGAAAGAGTGAATGTTGGTAATGAACTTTCATCTGTGAAGGAAGTACTCTTGACCTTTAGGTTAAATAAGGTGTTTAATAGCAAATTATGTAAATAAGGCTTATATCTTAGAAGGCACATTATTCAAATGAAAGAACATGTATATTATTGAGAAAATAATCCAATCCAAAATTTTTCCATGGAATTAGCAATAAGTAAATATTTAAAATACCTACACAAAACATTATGGATGTGTTTGTTATGTTCAAATTGATTATAAAATACCAAAAGGGTTTTATAAGCCTTACTTCAGGCATGGAAATTTTGAGTAAGTCCTGAAAATTAAATATATGAAAGGCCCAGCTGTAGACAACTGTACAAGCTGAAAATCTAACCTGAAATGGGAAATACAGTATATGTCTAAAGTAAGATTTCTTTTGCACTAAAAGTTAGTTTTGTCATTAGAAGTAAAACAAGTCTGGTAAAATACTATAGTAAGATCAGGAGGGGGGGAAATGGGCATTTATTGAAACCTTAAAATCTGTACCCCCATAATATGACAAAATAAAAAAAAAAAAAGATCAGTAGCACCTCAGTTAATCAGGCATCTTCTAGGAGGAGAAGTAAAGGGACAATTAATTGGCTTCATGATACAAGAATGGGCCTTGGTGGCAATACCCTACAAGCCCACAAGAAGGAGATGCTTCCTAATGAAAGGCCGCCTTTAATTTCTGTGCAGAGCTTTAAGTTAGGACCACACCCCCATCCCTGCTCAAGACCCGCCCTCGGTTGTGAAGATGAGAGTATGTTGAGTGAGCTTGAGGTTATTCTCGTGGTGAAATACTGAGCCATCACATAACAAATTCTGACAGTTAACTCTTAAGATAAAAATCTACAGTCCTGTCACTTTAAAGAGTAGGAGGTGAGGTGTAGGGTACCCCTTTTGGTGGGGGGGAGGGACATGCAGTAGGAGCAGATTTGAAAGGGGTCACAGCTGCCAGAGCTGAGCTTGCTGGCATTTTGCTGTAATAATGTTCATAAGACTTTATCTTAATTTTTTTTTTATTTTGAATATATATATGGGGTCTTAAAGTGTCTTGGTGGTTTTCTACTTACCACCTGCCACTTTTAGCATTTTTAAAGGCTTCAGTATTTTATTGCTGGTTAACTGAGGTTCTACTGTAAATAGACTGTAAATAAATCCTTCTACTGTAAATAAAAAGTGAATTAGTGGGTTGTGCTTCAGTGGATAATTTTTACTAAATTATTTACATTACAGATTACTTTTGTCTTTACTGAGGAGTCTTAGCACATCAAAAAAGTTGGTTCACAACTTAATTGTGACACAGAATTTTCCAAATTTTCCATTTTACGTGCTAAGTAATTTTGTTAATGAGAAAACTGTTCAAAGTAGAAAAGGAGCTTCAGCATAGACATGATGCTGGTTGCTGTGATCACTGGAGACTTCATAGCTTTTTGACAAGTTTAATAACGATTTGGAAGATAAAATTGAAGCTAAGATTCTGTTTTTAACATTTAACTTGTAATTTAAGAAAAACTAAATGTACGGTATTTTTACTTTGGGTATACATTTGTCTTTTTAGCAAGTTGAAAGACTTAATTTGCTGCTTGCTCACTATTGTAATTATTCAGGAGCAGCAGTGATACGCAGAACATTCTGGAATAGGGTGTTCTTTTAATATACTGCCCAGTAGATTGGTGCAGTTTGGAAAAGGTGTGTTATTGATATGAATGTTATTTAAGGTAAAATTTAAAAAAAATTTTTTTTTTTTTAGCATTTTAATATTGCTTTTTGTCTTTACAGGAAAATGTTTATAGGAGGCCTTAGCTGGGACACTACAAAGAAAGATCTGAAGGACTACTTTTCCAAATTTGGTGAAGTTGTAGACTGCACTCTGAAGTTAGATCCTATCACAGGGCGATCAAGGGGTTTTGGCTTTGTGCTATTTAAAGAGTCGGAGAGTGTAGATAAGGTAGTGTGTTACGTGTTCTCATCAGTTAATATACAATACTAAAACATGGATAGTGTGATACAGTGACTTTGCCCACTGGTGGTTCCCCTTCTGCGAGTATAGAAAGAAAGGATACTAGTTCTTGCCAATAAATTTTATGAAGTGAGGCGGATTCAGGAATTGCTTTCTGCGTAATTTTTGTGCCAGGCTCTACTGAACTTTAAAGTTAACTTTGAAAAATACTGAGACTTAAAGACGCCTAATTAAAAGGATGTGTTGTAATACGTTCACAGAAATACAGGTTTTGAAATTTTGTGAGGCAAGCAACTTTTGACCAAATCATCATTTTGGTCCTGGGCTTAAAGGGAAGTAGCCCATGTTTTGTGTATGTTGCTGGCAGTTAAAGGTGATGATTCCCGCCCTCTGTCCCCTCTGACACTCACACACCTTACTGATCTTTAGATTTATTTATTCATTTATTTTTTTGAGACATAGTCTCACTCTGTAGCCCGGGCTAGAGTGCCGTGGCGTCAGCCTCGCTCACAGCAACCTCCAACTCCTGGGCTCAAGCGATCCTCCTGCCTCAGCCTCCTGAGTAGCTGGGACTACAGGCATGCGCCACCACGCCCGGCTAATTTTTTCTATATATTTTTAGTTGTCCAGATAATTTTTCTAATTTTTCAGTAGAGACGGGCTTTGGGTCTTGCTCAGGCTGGTCTGGAACTCCTGAGCTCAAGCAGTCCTCCCAGAGTGCTAGGGTTACAGGCGTGAGCCACCACTCCTGGCCTGATCTTTAGATTTAAACACGGGTATGTTGGTTGATGTTACATCACCATGTGACTTGACAGTTTAATCCTGAGCCATTCAACGTAGGCCTGGCATTAGCTATATTTAACTAGTTATTTTTAAGTAAGTTTATAGTCTGAACTTTAGTTTAAGACATATTTAAAATGAAAACTTCAATTTCCTTAGGTCATGGATCAGAAAGAACATAAATTGAATGGGAAAGTGATTGATCCTAAAAGGGCCAAAGCAATGAAAACAAAAGAGCCGGTTAAAAAAATTTTTGTTGGTGGCCTTTCTCCAGATACACCTGAAGAGAAAATAAGGGAGTACTTTGGTGGTTTTGGTGAGGTATGTTACAAACGTTTTGACCCAGTTTATGTCACAATTAGGGTGAATGTGATTGTCACATTAAGTGGACTCAGTGTCACTGGGTTTTTCAAAACTACTAGGGCAGATTTTATGATATATTTTGGAATGAGGATACTGTAAATACTTAGCAGGCCTTCAAGGTTAGGTGATTGCCTTCTCCCCTCTTTTATCGAACGCCCACTGTATGCGAAGTATAGCTAGGCACAGGGTATGCCAGATGTAACAGGCAGAAATTTATCAAGTTAGTAGAAGAAAGAAAAATACAAATGATAGGAAGAAGAAATCCAGAATAGAAAGCAAATTGTTTGGGATAGGAAAGAAATGAATTAAGAATAGGGTATGGCACCATAGCAACTTAAACACATTTAAGTGCAAATTTAATGAGACGGATTATGGACTCATCAGTGAAATAGGTACAGAGGCTTCTTTTATGAATGAAGGAGTCGTAAGGTTGAGAATTGTGTGACCTTAGGCCCCAGATGCAGCCTGCAGGGTTTTTTTATTATTATTATTTGATTCAAACAGACTATATGTTTTGTTGTTAGTATTTAGGAATTGAGCTCCTGTCCACAAAAATCTGAGTATCTAGCTCTTCTTAAATATTTGCAAGACCAAGCAGCATTGGAACTGCCACTGCGTTCCTGCGTGGCGGTGTCTCCAAGACTGAGTAGGGCATGTCATGTACTCTCCTGTCTCTGGTAGTTCTCACCACCCCACTCCTCATTTTCTCCCAAATGCAGACATTTTAATTCTGGTTTTTCTTAAAATTGACTGTTTTCTCCTTGTTCTCTGTGGGCATTTGAGTCTGTGACCCTTGAGTTAGGTAGCAAATGTCGTGAATCTCACTTTTGTGATTAGTTGTGAAGGCTTTAGGTGGGGAGTGGATGTTCCTGTTTGAAGAACCCCTTTCGAAGGGTTAGGATGAAGAGGGAGAGGCCTAGCTGAATAGAGCTCCAGGGCTCAATACGTTCCTGCATTTTTTACCTACTAAACTTGTCCTTTTAATATTACAAAAATGCAAATTATTAGTGCCTATCATATTAAAACTTGATTTTTTGGTAACAGGTGGAATCCATAGAGCTCCCCATGGACAACAAGACCAATAAGAGGCGTGGATTCTGCTTTATTACCTTTAAGGAAGAAGAACCAGTGAAGAAGATAATGGAAAAGAAATACCACAATGTTGGTCTTAGTAAAGTAAGTTAAGCCTACGTTTACTTGCAGAGCCGACTATCAATAGCTGTCGTAGGGAGTTTAATCTTCTAGCTTCCTGTAAAGGCATCAGTTCGCATGTGTGTGCGTTAAAGACATTTCATGGGCTTCTTATTTATCAAAGGCATTCATCCACTTTTTTTTTGCTTTTATTGGGGAGCAAGAGGGATACATTTGTTATTTTTAAACGAATTTTCATCTAGGCTTTTACCAGAATTGTTTTAGAACGTGATGACAAATAGAATGAAGTAATGTATCTCCAGCAAACACTACTTTGGATATCATAAGTGATTATTCTTACGCACTAATGGCTGATTTAATTGATAAACTGATTTTGAGGAGAGCATCAAAGTAGCCAATTATTTAAGTAGCATTGGCGGTTCTGGTTATTATAAACTTCTCGAGCAACTTGAGTCAGCTTAATGACATAATTTTTCTCTTTTAGTGTGAAATAAAAGTAGCCATGTCGAAGGAACAGTACCAGCAGCAGCAGCAGTGGGGATCTAGAGGAGGATTTGCAGGAAGAGCCCGTGGAAGAGGTGGTGGTAAGCTAGAGCCTAAGTTTACTCTATCTTACGCTTTTCTGCTTTTTAATTATCCTGAAGTAAAGATCTTTGCTGATCTTCTGACTTTAGTGAACCTATTAATGTGCTGCAGGCCCCAGTCAGAACTGGAACCAGGGATATAGTAACTATTGGAATCAAGGCTATGGCAACTATGGATATAACAGCCAAGGTTACGGTGGTTATGGAGGATATGACTACACTGGTTACAACAACTACTATGGATATGGTGATTATAGCAGTAAGTACTATGCTTTTTATATTAACTGCTATTTGACATTGATTCTGTACAAATTTGGATAGGTAGAAAGGTCAGCGTAGCTTTGCCAAGTGCAACTGTCTTCAGGTTCCACATCCCTGGAAACTTGAAACTGCAGCCACTTGATTGCTAGGTTCCTCCCAGCCTGCATCACATGCACACCGTAAGGGCAGAGTGTATGTGTGTCACTGGATGTGTTTGCTGGGCTTTTGTTTTTCTTGCATTTGAAAATTTTAAGCTTAGTTCAGATCTAGAAAGCTTCGAGGTATTCTCTAAATGTCAATTCTTGGACCATCCAATAATCTTGGCATGATGTGTCTTAATCTTATAAAAATGGAATAAATATCACATGTTGCCAGTTAAATTCGTATCCTCACTTTAGGATTATTAACATAGAAACTCATTTACAACAGGTGTTGAGCTTGATAGAGCAAAAAACTTGAAATTTAGACACGGGAAGCCCTGACTTCATTGTGCAACTGAGATGGCTGTCTCCCCCTCCCCCCTCGATCTGTGGCAACAAGTTATCAGAGACGGGGTTTTGCTGGAGAAGCAGTCTTAACATTCTTTTGGAGGAGAGAGAGGTTGCATTGATAGCATTGTCTTAGGTGGTGTTTTTTTCCTTCTTTGGTTAGACCAGTTCTTGGAGTTACATTCTTTTCTTAGGTGACTAGGCCTGCTGCACAATAATAGGCTAACTAAAGTCAGAAGGAGGTCAGCAAAGATGGATTGGGTGAGATTGGGGCCCTTTGCTTAGAAGGGCACAAGGTACGGAAGCATTGATTGTGGTCGACAATCTCCTGTTCCAAATTTTAAGATGGTTTTGCCTGGTGGTTGTGAAAAGGTCAACTATCCCTGCTTTGAAACCTGAACCCTTGAAAAACCGTAGGGGTCAGGGGATTGATTATCTCCCGTTTCATACAAGAGCTCACGTAATCCACCCACTCTGAGGGCCTCCCCTTGTAGGCACTCGCAAAATGATTGCTCAGGGTGAATTTTTCACACTTGGGAATTAAGATATCCCTGATTTTTTGACCTTATTGAAAAGTAGGCATTGTTCTGGTTATTAGCATGTAACCACTACAGACCAGGTTCTAACACTTGTTTTATTTTAGACCAGCAGAGTGGTTATGGGAAAGTATCCAGGCGAGGCGGTCATCAAAATAGCTACAAACCATACTAAATTATTCCATTTGCAACTTATCCCCAAAAGGTATGTTCTAAAAAAAAAATAGATTTCTCTCATTTAAAATAGTAATTTATATAATCTTTTTGTATATAAAACAATGCTTACTATTATTTTAGAGTTTCACAGCACCCAGAAGTGCTTACCGTATTGTAACGTAGTGACTTTTCGAGTTATGTAACACAGGTGCTTATAAGCTTTTTGACTTTTTGTCCTATTATTAACAAGTCAGTAAAGTTAACAGGTAAAGTACTGCTAATGGGTACAAATTAAGGAATAGCTGCAAAAAAGTGTTGCCTACTAACTCTGACATTATACCTTGTTTGTACCCGCCAGCGGGAACTTCCTTGCAGGCCCTGTGTCGCGCTGACTTCACGATTCTCACAGGCCCGCTCAATGCGGACAGGGTACGAGATGCTCTCGCTCTCGAATGCTGCCGTTTGGTATGGTCTCTTCCAACATCCTGTATCAGCATTATAAAATAAAATGGATACTTCAAGCTTTGCCTTCACTTATTTCTTTGCTTTTTAAAAAAACTATTTGTAATGTAATTTTAATGCATTTTTTACAGGCCCAGTAATGGTTAAATACGTCAGCTTACTGAATAATTTTAACTATTTATTCTTCTAAGGATACAGCTTGTCTCTGGATTTTCCAGTCTTAATTTTATATTTTATTAATCTATTTTAATGCTTGCTTTTCCCATTTATAGACGTTGTAGCAGTAATTGCAAGAAGTTCTTGAGCTGAATTCCTGTTGTGACAACTGCCTATATAATTATTTATAATAGATAACTTTTTCTTTTAGTTGTATAAAACTTGTGATGGACAAGAAATATGCTGATCCAATAAAATAAGTTTAAATAGTAGATGCTCTTGGGTCAAACTATTACCAAATTGACTGACCTTTTAATGAGTTCTTTGGGTAAATACTTAAAACTTTTGTGATCTTAAAGAATACTTGTGAAAGCAATATCGTATCTTAAACGAGTGGTGCACATGTGGATTTACAGCTCATGGACTCTACTGTTCAGCTTTAATTTTATAAAACATACCACACATTTAATGTTATACAGTATTTACATATAGTGGAACATAGGGATAACTCAGTTTTATGTAACTTTTTGGTTAAGTGTGGCGGCCTACCTCGAGTGACTTTTTTTTTTTTTTTCTTTTTCTCTCCAGGTGGTGAAAGCAGTATTTTCCAATTTGAAGATTCATTTGAAGGTGGCTCCTGCCACCTGCTAATAGCAGTTCAAACTAAATTTTTTGTATCAAGTCCCCGAATGGAAGTATGACGTTGGGTCCCTCTGAAGTTTAATTCTGAGTTCTCATTAAAAGAAATTTGCTTTCATTGTTTTATTTCTTAATTGCTATGCTTCAGAATCAATTTGTGTTTTATGCCCTTCCCTCCCAGTATTGTAGAGCAAGTCTTGTGTTAAAAGCCCAGTGTGACAGTGTCATGATGTAGTAGTGTCTTACTGGTTTTTTAATAAATCCTTTTGTATAAAAATGTATTGGCTCTTTTATCATCAGAATAGGAAAAATTGAGGAATATTAAAAATTGTCATGGATTCCAGCTATTATTAGAAGCAAAAAAAAAATGTGGAGAATAATAAACCTTGTCAAAATCGAGGACATGGTTAAAGTTGCAGTGACATTTTAAATCCTTTTAGCAAAATCTGATTTTTGCCACAACGTGTCCTCCCTGTCCAAATCGGAAGTGAATCAATGTAGTCAATTTGTTTGTTGGTTGTTTTAATACTACTTCCTTTATGTAGCCATTAAGATTTATATGAATATTTCCCCCAATGCTCAGTTTTTGCTTAATATGTATTGTGCTTTTTAGAACAAATATGGATAAATGTGCAAGAATTCTTTTGCACAAATAATGTTTTATGCTTCCATTAAATAAAAAATGAGGACTTAAAAAAATCTTGTTAATTATAGAAATGCAGCTAAGTTCAGAGAGATATTTAGAGCTGTGGTGGGCTTATACTTTATAGACATTAAAGTATGGAGGGAGGATTAAAGAAATGTATACTGTGCTTATGTGTGTGTGCTTATTTGTTTTGATTTTACTTCCCATTTCTTCAAAAAGTTTTTAGGTTTTTTTTTTTTTTTTTTCTTTGTGAGGGCCTTAAGGATATCCCAGACTAGGATTTGAAAAGTGTACCTGGGAGTTTTGAGTTATTCTAAGAAAGTGTAACCGGGAGTCTGTGATAGCATTAGGATTAAGTCCAAAAATAGTCTTTCCTATCATTTGTTTTATCTGCGAAATTGTACGAATTGATAGATTTCGAGTTGGAAGGTTCTTGGTTTCTGTTTTTAGGGTTCAGGGAATTGATACCCATCAACTTAGATGGAAAATCCTTCGTAGTTACTGTTCAAGTGAATTTTAATACGTGTTCAACCTTGGGTGGTAATTTAAGACTCTGTTTAGTCAGTTACTTCAAACCAGACTATTTAGAATAGTTAGAAAAAAGTAGTAAATGAGAAGTGGTCTAATAGTTATATAGCAAAGCGATTATCTTTTTTCTTTTATGGAGTTAAATTGTATCTGATAAGAATTTGCTCTCTCCAAGTAAGCAAACGTTTTAATGAGCAGACAGTATTATTAAAGTAAGTTAAATTTTCATGGTGGCGATCTAAATTGGGGGCCTGCAGCCTGTTTTTGTGGAAATAATAGTGCAGTACAGCTGTGCTCATTTGTTTAGTGTGTATGGCTGCTTTTGTTGTACAGTGACAGAGTTGAGTGGTTATGACAGACCCACAAAGCCTAAAATATTTACTGTCTTGCCCTTTACAGAAAAAGTTTGCTGACCCCTGATGTAAGTCAGTGAAAAAGATCTGTTTGGGGCTGTCAAACTGGGATGAGTCTTAGTATCGTGGAAACACTGCTTATTTTATGTAACTATCCTACATAAAAATTTTTAAAGGGGGGCTAAAAACTGGGTTGAAAACGGGTTTAGCCCGGCTTAAGGAAATGCTACCAGATTAATTTTGATTCTTTGTTAAAGTGTTTACAAGCCCTGTATTATTTTCAGATTTAATTAGTAGAAAATGATAGACTAAAGCTGTACTCAGATTTGTTTGACCCAGTAATTTTGTTGTAGTTTTGGAGATCATCCCCAACGCCTGGCTTTCAGGAAAAACAACTTTTATTGTCCCTGAAGTCTAAAGAGTTTGCAGAAAAACATCTCCTAAGCTGATTTTTAAGTCGTTTGGTTTTTATACATCTTAAGTCACGTTTCTAAAGTGCTATTGTCAGATCCATTTCAGGCATTACCTCTTGGCCTACATATTCTGTCTGCCGGGCACTAGTTTATTTCTAAACTTCTACAGAACTTGAAAATTTTTCCTTTCATACAAAGCTATTTGCTGATTACCAGTCTCGTGTTTTCTTGGTGGTTTTCCATATTCCAGTCTGAACTGGAAGCATTTCATTAGCCAAGCTAAATCTTGAATGCCATGTAAGAATTGTCGGGTAACTGTTGAGCTCTGGGGCTTCATCATTTCTGAGGTTCTGTTTGACTCTGATTTTTAGATCCTTTGTTCCCCAGGTCCTGTGACTCTTTGGTGCAGCTCATCTTTGCGGTAGCTCGGAGGCCTTCCTGTCTAAAAAAGGTCATTGTCTGTACTGGATTAGTTTGGCTGGATAGAGGATTCCAGGGTTGGTATAAAGAAATAAGATATTTTAGCTCTGGACACTACATACAAAATCTTTTTCTGAAGTTAGCATTTCACCTGTGTCACTGGTGTTCTTAAGTTTCATGACTGTGTCTTGGGTTTATTTCACCCATTGTGCTGGGCACTCAAAAGTGTGTTGTCACTGTGCGAACTTGTTCTTCAGATACCGGAAATCTTACTGAACTCATTTCTTTTCCCATCCACCACCCTAATCTTTTTTCTCTGGAATTCTTGTTATTTTGGCATGAGCCCTGGACATACATTTTTTTTTTTTTTCTATTTTCTAGTTTCGTCTGTTTATCTTCTGAGCAATTTCTACAATTTGAATCTTCTAACACAGATAACAAATTTCAGTCATCTCTTAAATTCTAAGGCCCCACCCCACCATCTGTTATAAATAGGAACACATTACATGGACACATTGTCTTTTGCTCTTTTCTAAGGTTACTAGTGAAAACTTGTTTACAAGTAAGTTCGTCACTTCCAAGATGCTTTAATCTTGGTGTTGCTCTGGCTTCTGGTATATACATGATCAGTTATTCACATCAAAACAACACAATACAGACGACAACAAAACCGGGAATACTACACAGCACAGTTTACGGACTGGACATTCGACAAACAAGAACAACCAACTCACACATGACGATGTGACCTAGACGTGTAGGCCGGGAGAGAGACGTATCGTCAAAACAGCAGTAGGGGTTATACCATCAGTAGGGTGAACTACACAATGTATTTGCCAAATACACAGCGTCCTTGAACATCTTTGTAAATAACTTGTTTTTATTCAAAAGCTGACAAAAAAAAAGAGACATCAACAAGAGAAAAATAATCATAAAAATACAACCCTCCCCCGCGCCTTGAAGAGTAGAAATCCCGGCTGCCAGTGTTCAGATCCCACTTGGGGGAACGAGGCTGAGGGATCTTACAAGTAAACTACTTTAATTCACATATTTTCATCACCGTGCCCGTTCAGTCCAGACAGTCCTCTCTCGCCTGCTTCCGAGACTAAGTCTCTGCCCGGGTGCGGGGAGAGGCACTCAGTTGTCCGCCACGGAAGGAATCCGGGAGTAACGGTCAGACACTCTCAGCAATCTCCTTTAACCACTTTTATACATTTTTAATTTGAACAGAATCACCACTCTGTACGCCGGCTAGAGTGCCGTGGCATCAAGCCTAAGCTCACAGCAAACCTCCAACTCCGGGCTCAGCGACATCCAACAGCCTCAAGCCTCCGGTAGCTGGGATACCGGCCATAAAGCCACCCACACACATCCTAACAACATTATATAATTCATTATCATTATTCTCATATTGATTCATTACCATAAGATATAATCATACACATACACAGACACACACGCGCGTCCACAAACCACACCACATACTCCATGCTACACGGCTGTCTCGCACTCCTGACACTGAAAGAGCGACTCCACCACACCCCCCACAACACAAAACACACACACAAAACCGTGCCCTCGAGCCTCCCAGATGTCTTCCCGGCGTGAGCCCACCCGCCCAGCACTTAGCCCTATTTTTACTCTATTGTCTACAGTTACTTGGGCTGCCAAATCATAAGCTTTTGTGGGCATTCTGCGTTATAGCCTCACTGTTGAAAGCTGGCAAAATATTCAGTTTCTTGAAGTCTGCTCGGTTAACCGTTTATTTAAAAGCTTGGCAGCTTCTAAAATTGTGTTTCTGTTGTCTCTTAGTTGGTATGATTTTTGAATGTCTCCCCCCAACAGTTTTTTATAAATTACTGGGTTTTAGGATTTCAGTAGTCACTGGGCATAAATAATACGGTTTATCTTTAGCAGCGTTTTTGAGTGTGGGCGGTCGGTGGTGAGAGATTTAGGGGGGAAAAAAAAGGGACAGGTAAATTAAAATATTAACAAGGGAACTCAGTACCCTTCTAGAATTTGGCCAACAAAGTAAAAGTAGTAAGTAGTCTGCTAGTTTATCATAGAACCAACCTGTATTTACTGATGGACGTAGTGTTATGTGATTCTCAATTCTCAGTTTCGTAGGCTCTTGTTAGAACTACCAGTCCCACTTACCACTCAAATGATGAGCGTCCTAAGCCTGCTGTCCTCATCCGATTTTGATACCTTTTGGGTGACTAGGTGTCTCGTACCAGGTGAGTTAATTTCTCCTTTCTGGGGTCCTGGGTGTCCTCCTCTTCATCCCTTCCCTAGCCTTAAGTGCAGGTCATGTGACTGTATTCCTCTTCCCACACCGGGACAGCAATTGCTGTGTTGTGCACAGGTTAGAATTCGGTGCTTGTGTGTGGAACCACCTGTCCAGGTGACAGTTTGTGCTTAGATTCTGAAAGGTAGTCTCCCTGATGTTAGGATCCAGTTATCAGGCCTTTGTGTGTCCCATACTTTAGAAAGTAATTTAGTCAGTGTGTTTTGATTCTGCCTGGAAAGTTTGTTTTTTATAGTTTTTAAGACTGTCTTGCACTTTGAAAAGCTCTCTATAGTTTAGGAGGATATTTTGAAAAACAGAATCACTGAACCTATTTTTTTTTTTTTATTAAGGCATATTATGGGGGTAAACTGAACCTATTAATTAGCCACAGTATTTGTGTCGATGCTGAACTGTGTGAGTTTATTTCATTTGGGATCAGTTTCTTTTTTTTTAATTTTTTAATTTAATTTTTCTTGTTTTTTCATTTTATTTTATTTTATTTTTTAGTCCCCTGAAGTTTATTAGAACGGCGCATGGGATTCGTTTCATCTGAAATGTCAGAATCTAGATCCATGCATGAATACCGTGATACTTCTCAGTATAGTAAATTTATTTGGATGCAGTTTT